TTGAAATCCAGCCTCAAGACCGGTACAAGACCGCGTTCAAGACGCGGTACGGGCATTTTGAGTGGGTCGTCATGCCATTTGGACTCACCAATGCCCCCGCAATGTTTCAAGCAGCGATGACGACTGAGTTTCGCGACTTGCTCCATCGCAGCGTCCTCATCTACCTTGATGATATCTTGGTTTATAGTGGGACGTTGGACGGGCACATCGTACACCTTCGCGTTGTTTTGAATCGTTTGCGACTAGCCAAGTACAAATCGAATCTCGACAAGTTCAAGCCATCGTGGATTGGCCGGAACCCCGTTGCACTACGGATGTACGCTCTTTCATGGGTTTGGCTGGACATTATCAGCGATTCGTCGAGTCATACTCGAAAGTGGCCGCTCCTTTGTCGAGACTTCAGTCCCCGAAGGTGCCCTTCGAGTTCGACGACGCAACCCGTGGCGCGTTCACTACGTTGAAGGCAGCAATGCAAGCCGCACCTGCCCTCCGTATATACGACCCCACCCTACCCACCCAAGTGACTACGGATGCTTCGGGATACGGTATTGGTGCAGTGTTGGAACAGTGTCACGAGGACGGTTGGCATCCGGTTGAGTATTTCTCCCAAAAGGTGCCTCTCGTCAACACTCTCGACGATGCTAGGAAGAAAGAGCTACTTGCGTTCGTCACCGTTCTCAAACGGTGGCGCCACTTTCTTCTCGGTCGTCGATGGTTCAAATGGAATACGGACAACAATCCGTTGACCTTTTATAAAACATAGGACATGGTCACTAGCACGATCGGTCGATGGATGTATTACATCGACCAGTTCGATTTTGACCCGCGTCACATTCCCGGTCCCGCCAATCGAGCTGCGGACGCCCTCTCACGACGGCCCGACTTTTGTGCCATTGTGACCACGGCATTCGACCTCGATAACGATCTGCAGCAGCATTTCGTCAAAGGCTACAAGTCCGATCCGACTTACTCTTCGCTTTACGCAGAGCTTTCATCGGATCACCCGCCGGCTAGCCACTATCGGATTTCCGACTGGTTCCTTCTCCTTCACACGAGAGGAAAGGACTTGTTAGTGGTGCCCCAAGATCGCATCTTACG